TCTCTCTCTCTCTCTCTCTGTCTCTCTCATAGCGTATAAGATCAAATCTACAATAGTGATAAGATTAGAACATTTATGCCGACAGCTCCTACGTGACTTTTCTCTCACTCCTCTCTCTTTTGTTTGTTTTAGTAAATGTTTTGTTTTGGTTGCTCTACAAACGGCATTTGTGTTGTGATGGATAGGCATTTTGCAGTTGCAATCAGGGGGTATTGGTTTAATTCATTGCAGAGAAGTTGTATCGAGTATGGCCGTGTAAATGCTTGTATGTTATATCCCTCTCATCCCAAGTTGATTCAGGGCAAAGTTGAAGAAGCCGGCCTGTTACGTGGTCTAAATTGTGATGATGGGAGCGTAAAACATCTATATCTACCGATTACAATCACAGATAACTCTTTGTGTCAACTCAGAAAATGTTACATGTCGGTGGGTGGTTGGCGGGTGCTCTGGTGTGGTTTGCTTCTTCTTTCCTATGAAACATCTATCGTCCTTATCTCCCCTTCTTCTTTGTTATGTTTGTTACTCTCTTGTAACACCTCTAATCTTCTGGCACTCAAATGACCTTATGCAGTTGCGAGCGCCGTAAAAACTCTACTAAAACTGAAACTAACTGTTACATGTCGGCTTGGACCACTTGGTTCAAAATTGTGTTGGATGGTGGTGTAAAATTGACAATGACAACAAGGATTTGTTTTGTTTTGTTTCCCAGCAAGTCCTGGATCACAGCACCTACATTCTGGACCTGGAGAAAGCTGAACGTGAGGGGAACATCACCTGGGAGCTGGAGTACTCCGCCAAGGTCATTAGCACTTTGTTTTGTTGGTCACTTTTTAACTGCACCCCACATAATTTAGCTTTGATCATATGTGTCACGACGTGGTGGAATCAGGCTCTCGTCAATTTTCCGGCATGTAGAGTTATTGGTATCATCTTAAAGCTTGTTCATTTGTCCTTATTTGGATTTTTAAAATATCCATTTATCTTGAATACAAGTCGAGATATTTGCGAATGAAGGAGGTGGGGGTCACCTGTTTTCAAAGGTAAAATCAGAGAAAAAAGGGCCGCCAAAGATTAGTTATTTCCTTAGCTCAAGAGTCTGTGGTAACTAAAGATTTACATTTTTTGCGCACTTAATCAACGTTTTTCAGTAAAATCCACACAGAAATGTATTCATTAGTGAGCATGAAAGGTGTTAAGCCCAAAAACAAAAATTCAATAAAAATTCACACATCTACGGAAAAAATGCCAGTTTCTTCACATTGATTATTTTGACGAGAGCCTGATTCCACCACGATGCCTCACATATTTTTGCATAGTTTTGGATTAATTTCCTTTATCATTCTTTGTTTAAATTAACAGAATCGCATAATTTCACATTTTTGGGCTCAGTTTGCATAATTTCAGAATTTTTCTTTTCTAAAACGACGGGGATAGTTTTAAACACAAGGGGGGCTATCCCCAATAATTCTGTTTTGAGAAAATCGAAGGTAAACTTTTTACCCCTTGTTCAAGGTGAGTTTTCTCTATGACCAAACAAGTAGTGCCAGAAGATTAGAGGTGTTACAAGAGAGTAGAAAACACAAAAAAGAAGAAAGGGAGATAGTTTTAGTTTTTAGCAGAGGTTTTACAGCGCTCACAACTGCGTTTGGTCATATGAGCGCCAGAAGATTAGAATCTGGCAAGCATAGGTTGTCTGCTCCTTTTCTTCTTCCTCTTCCTTCTTTTCTTCCTCCCCCTCCTCTTCCTATTGTTCCCCTGTTCAGTCTCTCTTTGTGGGTGGTTGGCGGGTGCTCTGGTGTGGTTTGCTTCTTCTTTCCTATCAAACATGTATCGTCCTTATCTCTCCCTCCTTCTTTTTTGTGTTTGTTACTCTCTTGTAACACCTCTAATCTTCGACACTTATATGACCTTATTGTATTTCAAGTGCCGTAAAACTTTTACTAAAACTAAAACTAATACTCAAACTCCCCTCCTTGTTTTCCCCTTTCTCTTCTTCCTCTTCCTTCTTCCTTCCCCTCCTCCTACCGTTCCTCTTTTCAGTCTCTCTTTCTCTTCCCCCCCCCCTCCTCAACACACAATATTCTGTGATGTCTCCAGGCCACCTATAACATGAGCAGTGTCTACCCCTTTCTCTTCTTCCACTTCCTTCTTTTCTTCCTCCCCCTCCTCTTCATTACCGTTCCTCTTTTCAGTCTCTCTTCACCCCCCGTGGCGGTGCCACTGACTGAAGAGTATTTAGGCCATTCCCAAAGGGCAGACATTTCTCGTTCATGCATTGTACAATTGTAAATGGGCTGATTCATGAATGTCACGCTCATAACTGTACCTGATCTACAACAGGGAACTGCTGCTTTTTCTTTCCTAATCCTTACTATTGTCATTTTCCTCTACTTCTTTTGTATGTTTGTCA